GGGGGGGGGTTTAGGGGGGGGTTATTTTGATTTTTACCCCCCCCATAGCCAGAGGAGGAGATCATCGCCCAAGATTGGGGGGGTTTAGGGGGTCCCTGGAGGGGTTTAGGGGATTCAGGAGGGGGTTTATGGCGATTTTTGCCCCCCCAGAGCCAGGGGGGGGGATCATTGCCCAGGATTGGGGGTCCTTGGGGGGCTTAGGGGATTTTGGGGGGTTTATGATGATTTTATCCCCCCCAGAGCCCGAGGAGGAGATCATTGCCCAGGACTGGGGGGGTGTAGGGGATTTAGGGGGGGTTTAAGCTAATTTTGCCCCCCCAGAACCCGAGGAGGAGACCATTGGGGGGTCTGGGAGGGGTTTAGGGGGTCCCTGGGAGGATTTTGGGGGGATGTTTAGGGAGTTTATGATGATTTTATTCCCCCTCAGAGGCAGAAGAGGAGATCATCGCCAAGGATTGGGGGGATTTAAGGGTTTTTGGGGGGGTTTATGATGATTTTGCCCCCCAAAGAGCCAGAGGAGGAGATCATCGCCGAGGATTGGGGGGGTTTAGGGGTTTTGGGGGGGTTTAAGGTGGTTTTTGGGGGTTTATGATGGATTTTATCCCCCCCCAGAGCCAGAAGAGGAGATCATCGCCGAGGATTGGGGTTTAAGGTGGTTTTAGGGGTTTTTGGGGGGGTTTTGATGTATTTTGTCCCCCCCCAGAGCCAGAAGAGGAGATCATCGCCGAGGATTACGACGACGCCCACGTGGATTACGAGGCCTCGCGGCTCGAGGGGCTCCTCCCGCCCTGGTACAAAGTCATCGACCCCACCTGGTGAGACCCCTCCAGAGACCCCTCCCCCAGGAGACCCCTCCCCACCCCCGACCCCCTCCTGGAGACCCCTCCCCTCCCAGGAGACCCCTCCCCACCCCCAGAGACTCCTCCCAACCTCTCAGGCTCCTCCCACCCAGTGAGACCCCTCCCCTCCAGGAGATCCCTCCCATCCCCCCCAGGGAGATTCTCCCTTACCTGGTGAGACCCCTCCCCTCTCTTAAGACTCCTCCCCCCCCAGGAGACCCCTCCCCTTGGTGAGCCCCTTCCCCGGGTTCTATAGGAGCTGTAGGACCCCTCTCACCCCCCACAGGGGCTGTAGGGCCCCTCTGGGGGGTCTATAGGGTCTATAGGGCCCCCCAAAACCCCCCCCATCTCCCCCCTATAGGGGCTGCCCTACTACTGGAACGTGGAGCCCGACCTGGTGTCCTGGTTGTCCCCATTCCCTGGGCTCTAGAGGGGCTCTATAGGGGCTATAGGGCCCCTCGGGGTCTCGAAGAGCTATAGGGTCTGTCCCTGGTGTCTATAGGGGCTGGACAACCACTCTGAGCTCCTACAGGGCTTTTAGGGCCCCTCCTCAGTCTCTATAGGGCCCCTCCCTGGGTCTCTTGGGGCTATAGGGTCCTTCCCCAGTCTCTATAGGGCCCCTCCCTGGCTCTATAGGGTCTATAGGGCCCCTCCCCAGAGTCTATAGGGCCCCTCCCTGGCTCTAATAGGGTCCCTCCGCAGGGTTTCCAGGCTCTATAGGCTCCACCTCTGAGCTCTATAGGGGCTATAGGGCCCCTCCGTGGCTCTATAGGGCCCCTCCTCAGGCTCTATAGGGTCTATAGGATCCATAGGTGCCCCCAATCCCCCCTATATCCCCTATAGGGGCTGCCCTACTACTGGAACGTGGAGCCCGACCTGGTGTCCTGGTTGTCCCCATTCCCTGGGCTCCAGAGGGGCTCTATAGGGGCTATAGGGCCCCTCTGGGGGGTCTATAGGGTCTATAGGGCCCCCCAAACCCCCCCTATATCCCCCCCAGTGGGCTGCCCTACTACTGGAACGTGGAGACCGACCTGGTGTCCTGGTTGTCCCCCAACGACCCCAATTCCGTCGTCACCAAACCCGCCAAGAGGATCAAGGGGGGCACAGGTGAGGTTTTATATATTTACATAGAATATATATTATATAAGTTTAAACTTAGTAATATATAAACAAATGGATTAATTTATATATAATATATAAAATATAGAAATTTTTATATAGAGTAAATTTATATATAATACATATAATTTATATATGTAAATATGCATTATATATTTACATATATGTGCTAAAAATACATTTATATTTATAAGGTATGTTGTTAGATATATAAAATATATTCATGTTTATAAATATAAATTTATATATAACGTATATAATTTATATAAAATTATAAAATATATATTTGTATGTATTTATAGATAATACATATAATCTCTATATAAAATATATACAATAAATATTTTATTTGTATAAATAAACATTTGTATATTATATATATTATATATATTGAAATGTATATGTAGTATTATATGAACAAGTGAATAAATTTATGTATAATATACAAATTAATATATATAATAAACTTATATATAATACATGTATTTTATATATAAATATATATTTATATAAATATGTATTTAAGTTTATACATAGCAATATATATTTATATATAATGTATGAATTAATATATAAAATAAACTTATGTATAATACATATAATTTATATATAAATATATACTTATATATTTATATAATGTATTAATATATAACAAATTTATATATAATATATAATTTATGGATAAATATTATGTACATTTATATATAAAAATATATAAAAATATATTAAAAATACATAAGAATATATGAAAATACATAAAAATATATATTCTATCTACACCAAACCATTCCACTCTTCCCCCAGAGCCTGAAGAACCCCCTGAGAGGGGCCACGAGAAGGAGGAGCCGCCGCGGGAACGGGATCGGGATCGGGAACGAGATCGGGAACGGGAACGGGAGCGACGCTTCCACCGGAGAGAGGAGCTGGCACCGTACCCCAAGAGCAAGAAAGGTGGGGGGCCCCAAATTTTAGGGGGGGGTCCCCAAAATTTTAGGGGGGTTCCCTGGATTTTTGGGGAGTTCTCGGGATTTTTGGAGGGTTCTCGAGAATTTTAGGTGGTTCCTTGGGACTTTTGGGGAGTTCCCCGGGATTTTTGGGGGTTTCCCAGAATTTTAGGGAGCTCCTCTGGGATTTTTGGGGAGGTTCCCCTGGGATTTTTGGGGGCTCCCCTGGGAGTTTTGGGGGTGTCCCCCGGGATTTTTGGGGGTCTCTGAGGGGCCCTGACTCCCCTTTTCCTTCCCTCCTTTTCCCCCCTGGCACGAGGAGCTGGCGCCAAACCCCAAGGGCAAGAAAGGTGGGGGGGTCCCCAAAATTTTAGGGGGGTTCCCCTGGGATTTTTTGGGGTTCCCCCGGGATTTTTGGGGGTCTCTGAGGGGCCCTGACCTCCCTTTTGCCCCCTATTTCCCCCTTCCTGGTGCAAGGACCCAGCACTGAACCCCAAGGGCAAGAAAGGTGGGAGGGTCCCCAAAATTGTAGGGGGGGTTCCTGAAATTTTGGGGGAGTTCCCTGGGATTTTTGGGGGTCTCTGAGGGGCCCTGACCCCCTTTTTCCCCCCCAGGGAGCCGCAAGGACGAGGAGTTGGACCCCATGGACCCCAGCGCCTACTCGGACGCGCCGCGGTAACAACCCGGAATTCCGGGAGGGAGGGAAAAAGGGGGGAGGTTTGGGGGGCTCTGGTGACCCCACCCCAAATTTTTGGGGCAGGGACAAGTGGTACATGGGGCTGCCCAAGAGGAACGAGGCCAAGAGCGAGGCGGGCACTGGGAGGGGGTTATTGGAGCACTGGGAGGGACTGGGGGGCACTGGGAGTGACTGGGGGGCACTAGGGAGCATACTGGGAGAGACTGGGAGGGGCTTGGAGGAGGCTATTGAGTACTGGGAGGGACTGGGGGGCACTGAGAGCATACTGGGGGGCACTGGGAGGGGGCTATTGGGGCACTGGGAGGGACTGGGGGTTACTGGGAGGGACTGAGGGGTACTGGGAGTACACTGGGAGGGACTGGGTGCTCTGCTGACCCCCCAATCCCAAATTTTCCGGGCAGGGGCACGTGGTCCACAGGGCTGCCCAAGAGGAACGAGGGGGCACTGGGAGGGACTGGGGGGTACTGGGGGGCACTGGGAGGGACTGGGGGGGACTGGGGGGCACTGGGAGGGACTGGGGGGCACTGGGAGGGACTGGGGGGGACTGGGAGCTCCGTGGGGCTCTGGGGGCTCTGCTGACCCCCCAAATTTTTTGGGGCAGGGGCACGTGGTCCACGGGACTCCCCAAGAGGAACGAGGCCAAGACCGGGGAGGGGGGCACTGGGAGGGACTGGAGGGTACTGGGAGGGGGTTATTGGAGCACTGGGAAGGACTGGGGGGCATCTGGAGTCTCTGGGGGCTCTGGTGACCCCCAATCCCAAATTTTTTGGGGCAGGGGCACGTGGTCCACAGGGCTCCCTAAGAGGAACGAGGCCAAGACTGGGAGGGGCTGGGAGGGACTGGAGGGTACTGGGAGGGGGTTATTGGAGCACTGGGAAGGACTGGGAGGGACTGGGGGGTACTGGGGGCTCCGTGGGGCTCTGGGGGCTCTGCTGACCCCCCAAATTTTTCGGGGCAGGGGCACGTGGTCCACGGGACTCCCGAAGAGGAACGAGGCCAAGACCGGGGCGGACACGACGGCTGCGGGGCCCCTGTTCCAGCAGCGACCCTACCCCAGCCCGGGGGCCGTGCTCAGAGCCAACGCCGAGGCCTCCCGGGGCAAGGACTGACCCCCCACACCCCAAAAAATGACCCCCCCAAACCTCGGGGGGTGCCTGGAATCCCCCTGGAATCCCTGGAGGATCAGGGATTGTCCTGAATCCACAGGGAACCTTCAAACCCTTTCTAGGATTCCCCAAAGCTCAGGGGGTCCTCAAAACCCCCTGGATCCCCCCAAAACCTCAGGGGATCCCCCCAAATCCTTCTGGATCCCTCCCCTAAAAAATGACCCCCCAAAACCTCGGGGGGTCCTTGGAATCCCCGCGGAATCCCTGGAATGTCAGGGGTTGTCCTGAACCCACAGGGAACCTTTGAACTCTGGGGGGACCTTTTTGAATATTCTGAATATCCCAGAGATTTCCCGAATCTTCAGGGGGTCCCCAAAACCCCCCTGGATCCCCCCAAAAATCTCAGGGGGTCCCTGGAATTCCCCCTGGAATCCCTGGAGGGTCAGGGGTTGTCCTGAACCCACAGGGAACCTTCAAACCCCGGGGGGATCTTTCTGAATATTCTGAATATCCCAGAGATTCCCTAAAAGCTCAGGGGGTCCCCCCAGATCTTTCTGGACTCTCTCCCCTAAAAAATGACCTCCCAAAACCTCAGGGGGTCCTTGGAATCCCCCTGGAATCCCTGGAGGGTCAGGGATTGTCCTGAATCCACAGGGAACCTTTGAACTCTGGGAGGACCTTTCTGAATATTCTGAATATCCCAGAGATTTCCTGAATCTTCAGGAGGTCCCAAATCTTCAGGGGGTCCCCAAAATCCCCCTGGATCCCCCCAAAAATCTCAGGGGATCCTTGGAATCCCCCTGGAATCCCTGGAATATCAGGGGTTGTCCTGAATCCACAGGGAACCTTCAAACCCTTTCCAAACACCCCCCGAGCCCCCTGATATTCCCCAAAGCTCAGGGGGTCCCCAAAACCCCCCTGGATCCCCCCAAAACCTCAGGGGATCCCCCCAAGTCCTCCTGGACACCCTCCCCATTCCAGGACCCCCCCAAAAACCTCAGGGAGTCCCCAAAATCCTCCTGGGACCCCCTCCCCAGGAGCATCAGGGGTTCACTCCAAGGTCCCCGGGACCCCCAAACATCAAGGGGGGTCCCCCAAAACCCCCCTGGGACCCCTCCAACTCCCAGTCCCCCCCTCCCAAAATCCCTCAGGACCCCCCTCAAACCTCCAAAGTGCTCCCAGACCTCCCTAAACACCCCCCCCCAACGCAATAAAGCCACGGAAGCCCCCAAGGAGTGGAATTGAGGTGGGGGGGTTGGGGGGTTTATTGGGGGGGGGAGGAGGGAGGGGGGACTGTGCCTTGTATGACAGTCCTTGAACACCCAGGGGGGGTCTCAGGTCACTCACGAGGGTCCTTGCACACCCAGGGGGGGTCTCAGGACGTTTATGGGGCACCCAGGGGGGGTCTCACCCCACCCACGAGGCTCCTTGCACACCCAAGGGGGGTCTTTGCACATTCCTGAGGGTCCCAGAGAGGGTCTCAGGTCATTCACGAGGGTCTTTGCACACCCAGGGGGGTCTCAGGACATTTATGGGGGTCCTTTCACACCCAGGGGGGTCCTTGCACACCCAGGGGAGTCTTTGCACATTCACGAGGGTCCCAGAGAGGGTCTCAGGTCATTTATGAAGGTCCTTGAACACCCGGGGGGGGTCTCAGGACGTTCACGAGGGTCCCAGGGGGGTCTCACCCCATCCACGAGGGTCTCACACACCCCTGGGGGGGTCATTGCACGAGTTTCAGTCCGAGAGGCCGAGCTCACGCAGCCCCTCACAGGGGGGGCCTTCCTCTTCCTCCCCCTCACAGGGGGGTCCCTCCTCTTCCTCACAAGAGGGTCCTCCCCCCTCACATGGGGGTCTTTGCCCTTCCTCACAAAGGGGTCCCTCCCCCTCACAGGGGGGTCTTCGCACGCTCATCTTGCACGAGGGTCCTTCCTCTTCCTCACAGGGGGGTCTTTCCTCTTCCTCTTCCTCACAGGGGGCTCCTTCCCCCTCACAAGGGGGTCCTTCCCCCTCCCAGGGGGGTCCTTCCTCTTCCTCACAGGGGGGTTTTTCCTCTTCCTCCCCCTCACAGGGGGCTCCTTCCTCTTCCTCTTCCTCCCAGGGGGGTCTTTGCCCCCCCCCCATCAGGATCCAGCAGCTCCAGGTTTTCCCACGCGGCTCCTTCCCCTTCCTCCTCCTCCTCCTCCTCTTCCTCCTCCTTGGGGGGTCCCCGAGCCCCCCCCCCGCCCCCCCCCCCCCCTGACCCGACAGGCCCCGGGGTGGGGGGGGGCGAGGGGGGGGGGGGGGGGGGGCACGTACGTGTAGGGACGGGAGGGGTCCAGCTGGGGGGGGAGGAGACCAGTATGGACCAGTATGACCAGTATGGACTAGTGCCTCCTCCCAGTGTGACCCAGTGCCTCCCAGTATGGCCCAGTGCCCCCCCAGTGCTCCCAGTCCATCCCAGTTGGCTCCAGGGGCTCCCCCAGTCTGTCCCAGTCTGTCCCGGTGACCCCCAGTGCTCCCAGTCCCTCCCAGTATGGCCCAGCACTCCCCAGTGCTCCCAGTCCATCCCAGTGCCCCCCAGTGCTCCCAGTCCGTCCCAGCACTCCCCAGTGCCCCCCAGCCTGTCCCAGTGCTCCCAGTCCCTCCCAGTCAGCTCCAGGGGCTCCCCCCATGCTCCCAGTCTGTCCCGGTGCCCCCCCAGTGTTCACAGTCCATCCCAGTCGGCTCCAGGGGCTCCCCCAGTCCCTCCCAATCCATCCCAGTGCTCCCAGTCCATCTCAGTGCCCCCCAGTGCTCCCAGTCCATCCCAGTCAGCTCCAGGGTCTCTCCCAGTCTGTCCCAGTCCCCCCAGTTTGCCCAGTACCTGCAGTGGGTACGTGCGGT